TAGTCAACGTGTAATAGTCAAATAGACACAAAAGAAAACAATGGAATTAAGGTCTACACATGTAAAGCATATCAGTATTCATTAAAAAATTAAAGATCTTCAGATTTTTTATGGTTATTGAAAAAATGATGCATCATTGCCTCACTGGGCACCTGTGACCAGCTTGGTTTTAAGATGTGGCCCATATATTTAGTGAGATACTTCATGTATTTTTCACCGTAGAGTAAATAGAGGTGACACAGTTCTGCGACATGTTTCGCAACCAAATATTGACCAGTTGTCACCAGGCATTCTTTCTTATTAATAAGTACGATATTACTTTTTGGGACGTTTTAAAGCCGATAAATCCGCTTATACTATCTTAAAATTTCAAACTCATAATTAAACAACAACATGTTAGAACGATTAACAGTTTTATTGTTCAGTTAAATTGTAATTATTTTTTATGTACTTGGTTCTTCTTCAGTTTACTCCAATGTTAAATTTTAAATTGCTGGGGTCTAACTCGAAAACCTTATGGTTAATTTAGACCCCAGGCTCTGAATTATGTTCTTTTGACAATTATCTATTCTTTATTTTCTTAGTTGTTTTCTATAGTTGTTTTTCACATTTCATGTAAATTTTCTTGTATGAGCAAATAAAATTGTATTGTATTGTATTGTATAATAAAATAATGAAACTAACAATAAAACTTTACTCACATGGATACCATCAAACACTTCACCATTCCAAATCAACACATTCCCATCATCATCTTCAAGAGGTTGTGAAGTGAGTGATCCTCGAAGGTGAAGCACTGCTCCCTTAAGAATGAGCTCATACATCTGACCAGACTCATGATCAGAAAGTATCTTCTCCTTAGTACTAAAGTCATCCGGTCCTCTCCTTCTTATAAGTGGTTCAATAGTATGCACTAAATGCTAGGTAAGGAGATTGTTAAGAAACAAGATTATTCTTGCAATACTGATTGGAACAGGGATTGCTGTAAGTCATAGAAGTGAAGGCATGCAGTATTGGCAGCTGGGGCATGGATTGTGTACCCTTAGACAATCAGTTCCAGAAATACTAAGGGCTTGGGTCTGTTGTTGGCAAAAAGTGGATGGTATTATCCGACCGATAAATCTCTATCCAGTGGATAAGTTGATCAGGTAGTGCTATCCACCCTTCGTACAACCAGGTCCTTGAGGTAAGGATATGGACAGCTGAGATGGGTATGGTCACAAACACTGGTAATGAAACATGGATGGCTGGATGATGAATATAGACATCCAGCAACCGCAAGGAGATGTGCTGTACATAGCTGAAACAGGCAAGGAGACTGGAGACATATGCATATTATTGGGATGCATGTGACATCATAGCTGCCATCTTGGTTGATAATAATGAAGCATAATCCTCATTAGCTTCCCTAGTTAGATAGCTTACAGGGAGAAGAATGTAAAATACTAAAAAAGACAAGCTCTAAATCTATAAAATAGACACTTAACTATGCATTGTACGATGATAATTGAGCAAAAGTTCAAGTTCAAGGGAACAGATTACTTTGTCAAATTAACTTACCTCAATTCTGTTCTTACAGCATGGTCCATCCTTAAATACACAGAAAAATATACCGCACATTTCGGTACCGATATCCTTTAACCCCTACCGTTAAATAATGTTAATTTTATAAATGAAAACCGCAAAAAAAGAATTTTTTCATTCAATCTAATCCTCAACACTTAATTTTGCCGCCATCTTGAAAAGAACCAAGTGCCCGCAGTAGCAACTAGCCAGCGAGTGTATAACATCGTCTTATTGTCACCAATCGTTTAATTCAAAATGGCGTCCAGTGGAGAAGATGTGGAGTTTGAGTCACTTGAACCTAATATTAAAAATATTATCGACCAAGATTCATTAAAATGGATATTCGTTGGTGGTAAAGGAGGTGTTGGAAAAACTACTTGCAGGTTTGTTTGAAGTATAGCTTGAGTGAAATCAGAAGGATTTCTTTGAGAAGTCTGTTAACACTCTTATAGAGATATCAGCTGAAAAGCGAATAAGGGAATGTAAAATTATTTTCAGACTTCGAATGTCTTCAAAGTCAACCTTATTGTTTTCTTTTATGTTTATTTAAGAGGATTTTTTCATAATATTTGATTAAATGAAAGCTTTTACTTTGTAGCAAGATTAAATAATTTCCCACTTTTACGAGATTTTTTCTAAAAATCATTCAGTCTTTTTTGATCAAGTATCATCATTCTATAGTTGCAGTATCGCAGTCCAGTTGTCCAAGGTCAGGGAGAGTGTCCTAATAATATCAACAGATCCTGCTCATAATATATCTGATGCTTTTGATCAAAAGTTTGGTAAAGTGCCTACCCTTATCCAGGGACATAACAACCTATTTGCTATGGTAGGTATTAGATAATATAGGGGATGGTACATAGCTGTTTCTGCTTTACACACTGAACCCCATCACCTACCCCCTAGGTCTTTTATAGATACAAAGTATTGTGTAATTGGGGATCTACATTTAGATTTCTTTGTTTCTGATCTTTGTCAGGAAATTGACCCAAACTTGGGATTTACAAATTTACCAGACGAATACTTCGATAGCCCTGGTATGTATTGTGTAGATATTCAGCTTGTTAAACTTCTGTATCAAGTAGTCATGCACCCCTGGTAAATTGACAAGTGTCTGCTAAATTAGTCGTATTCCTAGGAGGAAGAAACTTGGTGGAGTTGGCATTGCAAAGCATTGTGGGCCTATAGGTGACATATATCCAACATGGCATCAATTTGTCCCCTAAAACATAACCACAATGCACTGTAATGCAAACAAGACCCATTTTATCCCTCAAACTCAGAACAGCTAATAGAAGTTGGCTAATTAGGGAAGGGGCATTTTTTTATTTGGGTGGGAGGAGGGGGAGGACTAGGGCTTTAGAGGGAAGTGTCATTTGTTTAGTTAAAAACTTGAACTTTCATGTTGGGTCAAACCTTTTTATTTATTTTATTTTATTTTTTATAAACAAAAGCTGTTTCCTTGTTGACTCAATAGGAAGGTATGAATTTCTTACTGAGTGAAAGAGGAAGGGCTACAACTATTTTAAAAAAAGTTTACTGTGAATTCCCAAGCTCTCTCCCTCCTTTTTTTCAAAAAGCTAAAAAATTTGTTTTTGAATCAATGTCCTAATGTGTCGTGCATATCTTTTTATCAGATATCATGTCCATGGGTAAGGCAATGATGAATGACTTACTTGGAGCCTTCCCAGGCATTGATGAGGCAATGAGTTTTGCTGAAGTAATGAGGTAAACTAAAAGACAAGGCAGATTACATATACAGTAACAAGAAATATTTGACATAGTGATCACATTTTTTGTGGTGTTATACATAATGTCCTATTGTTGCATTTTTCGTTATATTTCACATAATCTTAATTTAACAATTATTATTGTGGAAAGGATAAAATTTAATTTTTTTTTTTAATGTTGATCAAAATTTTCATGATAAAGAAGTCTTTATTTACACATGGTAGCCTTTAGAACTATAAGCTATTGAGCCATGTATTCTCAATACACACTCTTAAGAATCACCTGTTTTTCAGACTCGTCAAAAGCATGGATTTCTCAGTCGTGGTGTTTGACACAGCACCAACAGGACACACACTAAGACTGTTGTCCTTTCCATCAATCATTGAAAAATCTCTTGGAAAAATATTATCCCTCAAGAACAGTATTGGACCATTTGTCTCACAGGTAGTATGTTACTGTATTGTTCCCTCCTCAGGGAGGACCCAGGGAGGGGCAAAGGAGGGCTGTAGCCCACCATTCATTTAGCCATATATAGTTTTATTTGATCAAAGTAATAGATTTTCAGTAAAGTGAGCTGTTACTTACAAGTAAAGCAAAATTCAGTCAAGTCGCCTCCCCCCCCCCTCCTTGTATTTTGAGGTGATATTTTTGGCTGGATCYGCCAGTGCTCCTAGACCTAATGCAAGTCATTTATTTTATATCGTGATGAAGAACTCAGTAGGAAATGTACTTCTTCATATAAATTCATTATTTTTTATTTATTTATTAATATATTATTTATTTATATATGATTTATTTATTTATTATTAACCTAAATTGTTTATTTAGTTTGGAGCATTACTTGGGGTTCAAGATATGAATGCTGATCAGATGACTAGTAAATTAGAAGAAACTTTACCCCTAATACGACAAGTCAGCATGCAGTTTAAAAACCCAGTAAGTTCTGCCTAAAAGCTTAAATAATAATATATTTCCAATTTCCTTCAAACTATTTTTGCATGTACCCTCTCTCCCATCTATTAGTCACATTTTCCCTTCCATCCATACCCTTTTTCCTTCCATCCACTCTTTTATCCCTTCTTCCTTTCATCATTCCCACTTTAATTTTCCCTACATTTTTCAATTAATTTTTGACTTTTTCCATTTATTGAATTCATGTTTCTTCCTTTCATTATTCCATCATTTTTAACCTTATTTGATCTTCCCTTCATTTTTTGTAATTAATTATTATTTTTTCCATTTATTGAAAGTTCATGTTTTTTAATTGCACATGCAGGACCACACTACCTTTGTTTGCGTTTGTATTGCGGAGTTCTTATCTTTATATGAAACAGAGCGGCTAGTACAAGAACTAACCAAGGCAGAAATTGACACACAYAATATTATTGTCAATCAACTGGTTTACCCCGATAAAAATCAAGGTAAGTAAACCATCCTGTAGATGTTTCCACTCTTTTTTATTGTTGGGAAGCCAACATGGTAGCTATTTCTTTTGCCCTTATCCATGAGAAATTATTCACAACATCATTCATTATTTTGTTCTCTGACTAGAGAACTATAGAGCTCAGTAAAGAGAGTGTGATGCTCAGGTTTAAAGTGTGTTTTCAACTCTCACTATCCTTTTGTTGTTCTGTTTTCAGAATGCAAACTATGTTTGTCAAGGCACAGAATACAAAAGAAGTACCTTGATCAGGTAACATGCCGTATGGACATGACAATAATATTTCCTGTATCTCTGCCCTCCCTTCCCGTCTTGCTTCCTTTCTACCCTAGCTCTGGTCTGTTCCCTCCCACAATTTTTAACTCTCCTCTCCACCCATGTTTTCCTTTTTCTTCATTACTCCTACTCACCACCCATGATTGCTTTCTTCTTCATACTCCCCCCCCCCCCCACCCATGTTTGTTTCCTTCTTACTCCTCCCCCAGTTTCTCACTCTCCCTCCACCCACATTTGCCTTCTTCTTCATCCTCCACCTCCTAGTCTTCATGTCTTTTTGTCTGACTCCATCTGTCCTGCTTCAATCTTTTAGTGTGCAACTGTATGTAATCTTCGGTTTTGCCAGTGTGGACTTTTTTAGTCCCTGTATTTCCCTTGTTAACTGTTTTCTGGTGTTTGCCTTGGTTAATTTAAGTGAGGATCAGTAGTTTCTGTGCACGTATTATATCCCCGGGGGGGGGGGGGGGGGAAAAAAGTACAGTATAAGCTAATCCTCCCTTGGCCAAATAGACCAAAGCCAATAGAACCAAGTGACCAAGTGTAATACAGGGACTACAAGTTCAGTCTATTACTCTTTTCTAATAACTGTACCTTATCTGCTTATAGATTCAGGATCTTTATGAAGACTTCAACATCACCTGTCTACCACTACTAACAGAGGAAGTCCGTGGAGGAGAAAAAATCCATGTGTTTTCAAAATTATTAGTTTCATCCTTATCAGAGAAAGCACAAACTTAAAAAAGCAATATACAGTATGAGAAGCAAGATAATAAATGACAGCTACATTTACTAATCAAAAGGGCAGCCCTTAGATGAGTTTCTAAGCATCATCTTCAAAATATGAATTTAAAGTTTTCAGTTGAACTTCTATTTGGAGCTCATCCCCAGTTTAATATGCCCTGCATGCCAAACGTCTCTCCCTAAAACCCATTTTTTTATACCTCGTAGAAGAGAAATGCATTTACTCATAAACATGCAAACTCTTTGTCTGCCAGCTGAAATTTGATTTTTCGCTGCTGTCAATCAAACCTAATCAGTCATATTTTTTTGACTGGCAGCAGCGAAAAACCGAATTTCAGTGTGCAACTCCCAGACACAGAGTTTGCATGTCTATGAAAATTGCAGTAACATGAAAGATTGAGAAACATAGTGTTATTAAATTTCAAGGGGGATGATTAGATTAAATTGCTGTAAAAAAGATAACCGTAATGCATATTGTTGAACAATGTACAGGGAAAAGATACAATGCTCTTATTAACAGATTGCGAGGTTCATACTTCAAGTTATGGACTGCAAATTGGCCAATCACAGCATGTGAAATTACAAGCACTTCATGGCAGTGGGTTGCTTACTCTGACAGAGGGCTCATTAATTTGAAAGACTAGGTGGGGAGTGGCATACACATCTACAGGCTTTTTTCATGTGGCAGCCATGTTGACTTCAACGCTTTCGACCACATGGCCTCATATTCTAGCAGTTGAAAGTAAATTTATGCAGGTGAAACAAAAGTTTTTATTCTCATGAGAATAAACATGGTCACTGTGTGATAAAGGTCCATTTAAAAAAAGGTCGATGAAAGTCTTGTTGCATGTTGCATAACAAGCTGTGAATATAAACACATTACATAAAATTCTGCTGGGTCTAAAAATGAACAGATGCTCAAGAAGAGAACAGAGGCCACTCTTTATAAGCAGTTGATTGTTTTATTAACAACATGACTCCTTGATTACTAGTAATTAATATGTTTATCTCTGATTAATTTCATCATATGATAGTCTCATATATATATATATACTTAATATCATCATCATCATTGTTCATAATAATTATTTTCTTGTCTACTGGCACAGGAAAATTCATTATTATAGCAGAATATACACAGAATGTACAGCTCTATCATACAATTACTTAGGCGAAAGCATAGCTTATAACATAATAATACTTGGGATATTGAGGGGGAAGCTAACGATGACCAACCAAGACACCCATACATCTCCAATTGTCCCCTTCACAGTTCCCTGTGCATTGAAGCCAGGATAACAGTGACCTGACAAAAATATACCTTTTTAGCACCTTGGACAATTATTATTCACGTCACTACCATCCCAAGGTCACAGCTGTTCTCACTTCAATGCACAGGCACAGTTACTTTAATTCAAGTTGGTGCAAAGAACTGTGAAGGGGACTATTAGGCAAAGACATGGATAAGGAACATAATAATACTTTAAAAAATGAGGATAAGAACTACAGATACCGAGATACCCAAAGACCATAAAAGAGTTTCCTATAAGACACTTTGAGGAATATAATTTTGATCTGTACAGAAATAAATATCTCTAAAGTTTGAATTCAGAGCTGAAGATGAGGATGGACAATTGTTTAAGAGAGCTGTCAAATAATTTGAGTTCAAACAAAGGTGATGTGACATTGCAAAAGGAACTTTCATACTGTCTTGTGACTAGAGTCACACAATTTGCCATTTTAAGCTGTCACGCAACTGTGGAAAATGTTGTCACAATGCAAAAAGATAGACCGAAAGATAACAGCGAAGTGTTTGATCAGTTATTAGAACTCAGCTTAATTATTTACACATTAAAGCAAACACAATATACCTTAAAAGCAACAGTGAGGARCATGAACTTGGTAATGCTATTCAAAAATTCATTGGACACAGCTAAAATTATAATCTTGATAAGTATACATATTTATTACATAACTCTTAGAATAATTTCCATGAGTGGATAACCTATAGTATATTAGCCACTAAATGTCTTCTACTCTTGCCATCCAAAAGGCAGTAAAATGCACACTAGCCAATCAAAATGCTCAAAAACAGAAGCCATTTCATAATCAATTATACCAAAAGTCCCACTCTACCTTACTACATAATAGAATAGTTTAATTTTGTCGATAGATACCCAGATATCCTAATCTGACAAAACTCTCTTGATGGTCTTAAAATATTTTCATGTAAGAATTCAAATAACTTAATAAGGAATGCACCTAGGCTGAGGACGAATAACAAAAAGACCACAGATTTTTGGAAAGGTTTGTTTTTGTCTGTGATGATGTATTCTTTGCCATTTGTTTCAAGAATAATTTTGTGCACAAAAGTCAGTTTATGAATTGAGGAACCATTTTAGTTTGTATCTTTGAGTTGGAATTGAGAATTTGAGATGAGATTTTCCAATGGATGACTTGGCCCATTTTGGGATTAACTGGGAAAAGGAATTACGAAGTGAAATTCCTTACAGGTAATGATGCACTTTATGACTAGCCTAAACATGTTGGGGAACATAAGTAATTGTGAAATGTCAATTAAGTATTGGCAACATTGGCCAAGTGTTGATTGACACATGTCGACAGGTCATTAATTACACAATTAATACTTTTCTGGTGAATACAGTCTCCTCCAATCAACAAGCCACGAGAAAAAAAAATTGCTTTATAAGTGGCCTTCATTTGCAACAAGAGCATACATCTAGTTCTTCAACTTTTCTCCAGATCTAGTAAAATGTGGTGGCCATCTTGAATCATGAGGCAATGTGGGTCTCCCAGGGGCAAAACAATGCAAAGATGCTGAAATGATGAGCCCACGATCTTTGATTACATGTGGAACTTTCCATTGCTTTCTTAAATCATCTCTTGTCAAATTGTCTACTGTTAATGTAGATCGACACTGTTGCCCTCTGGATTAACCATAATGCCTTGCAACTGAAAATGGCCACCACATGCTCAAAGTAGTCCATCGATGCTAATGTACAACACAATGCTGAGTAGTGTATGTTGCTGATGCTTATGCTTCTGTTGCAAGTGAAGCAAGGGTTTTGTAACATCATTAGAGACCATACCAGGATGGAACTTGCTACGTACATTGATCATGAAACAATAGTCTCAAATCAGAGTTCATATAAACGCAGTTACCAACCTCCAAAAGTTGTTTCTTTTTGGCATTTCCATGGAATTTGGTGTTGGTGAAGAATAACCTCAAACATTGCTTGATGAAAAATGTAACTCCAGAAAAGTCTATCAATAAAACTGTTACATTTGCAATTGCTCCCATGGCAAATGAGAAATGGCTCTGTCAAACTTGGTTGGGTGTTAATACAATTTTTATGACTTCCTTTACTTTCCATTGCTTCACTTTTACTAGAACAAACTTCCTAAAATACTGGATGAAGAAACTATGTGTGCTCAAACTTTAAGTTATCAAGAACATACAGTGAAATGCATACAGCATGAAACCTTCAAATGACAACTCCACAACCAAAATAGCATTAACATAAAACAGTTTCACCATCGGATAATATCCTAAAACAGTCCAACGGATAAGATTTTGTTTACTAATATAACTACAGGACATAAATTAAATTGAAATCTCTATGTATATCATATATATTATATTTACATTTCTATAAGCTCAATTTTTGTCATGTTTTGATGACCATCCCACGTACGTTCTGATCTTGATGGACTTTAAAAATTGCCTCCTTAGTTTTAGCTCGATTTCATAGCCTTGGTCGGTTTGGTAACAAAAACCCATGACAATGTGAGGCAAATCAAAACAAATAATTATTGGCAAATGCTTGCATGTTTCTGTCAAGGGTTACCATGGCAACCAGGCAACCGAATTGATTGTAAAGTAAAAAGTAAAATACTGATATTTAACGTCGGTAGTTCCTTCAGTTGAAATTCGACTGCTATCAATGGAAGCCAATGGATTGCTAATTGGTTGAACCATTTCATGTCAGAGCTTGCATTGTTCAGAAGCCAACTTTTTCTGAGGCAAAATTTGCAGCAACTGGAAACTGCAGATATGCAAAAAGATATTTATGGGATGGATAAAAGGTAATGCAATTTAACAATGAAGTGTGACTTCCTAGGGGAGTTGGGAATGCATAGAAAATGATAGCACACCTCAAGTTATCATAGACGACTGCTATGGATTATACAATGCAGTGACATCTTTTGCAACCATATATAACAAGGGTAATTTTTTGATTCACAATTTTTGACTAGGAGTTACTGCAAGTTGCGAGTTGGGAGTTGACTTGTATGACTGCCTCAGAAAATAGACAACAGAACAACGCTGCTCCTTCTGGTTCTCGATGCAATCACATTGTTTCAATCAAATACTCACCACCAGTATACCTTAATCCACCTAAACATGCTGGCACCTTTTCAGTTTCCATCAACAATTTTTTTTACAATTTTACAGGGCATTTTACAAGTTTTCTTTTAAGTATTTCTTTGTGTCTTCTTGTGTTCTTGTTTCTTCTCGTGGATTTTTAATGGCATCACTATAAACATGTTTTCCATTCCAATCAACCACGTAGCAAGTGGACAAACAAATTATAATTTTAGATCTTCCTCCACATAGGCATTAGTAAAAGTTTCCCAGTTAGCAAATTTCTAATTACACTTTTTTTCAACTATGATATCCTCTGCAAATTCCATCTAATTGTGTCACGCTTCTTGTGCTTAGAGATAGAACAACACATCTGATTGTTTGAACCACAATTGAGGAGATCTGAGGCAACTTCTTTTTTCAATTTGAAACAAAATCTCCTGTGATCATTGGGTAATAAGATTATTCAAATACGAGATGAAGACCTCCTCTCATGAAAGAAAATCTCGTGTAGAAATTCTCTTCTTCCACCGTAGTAAGATTTAACAACTTAGATTTACTCCCATTAAATACTCCAAGCACTCCTTGGTTTATTGTCCAATCCTCTTCACATTTCTTTGTGGTGCTCCTTGAGGCAGTAATTAACCACTGATTACGCAACTGTGGTATTCCTCAAGGGTCAGTTATTGTTCCCATCAGCTGCCGAACAATCAAAAGAGCTATCGCCATCATATTCATCATCGGCTTCGCAGCTTCTCCCACTGCTTTCACACTTCGTATGCAAAAGGTCTTTGAAATTGTTGTTTCTTGTGTTACCATTTGTGGAATTTTCTTCTAAAAATATAACACATATTTGGATATTTGGTCGCTATGCACAAAACGTAGCCGAAATAAAAAGGTGCAGGTGAAAAGAGGACAGAAAGAGAAATCATAAAAATAAGAAAAGGTGTCAAGAAGAAACCTTTGAATGACTGTTATTCCAAAGTATAAAAACATGAGACTATCACAGTTTGTTATTCAACTTCAATACGTATTTCTCAAGGTTAACCTCCTTTGAACTGGTATCAACAACCGCTCACTTCCACACAAAATTAAATATCCTCCATCTCAACACATCACAACAAGGTGCCTATAGAATCGCCCAACGTTTCACAACCAAATATGTCCAAAGCTGTTAATAAAATAGCATTAGAAGCAAGAAGAAAAGCAAAAGATGCATAAAAAAGTAAATGAAAAGGAATGAAAAGTAAAAGAGAGAGTAAAAGAGAAGATAAAAATTCAAAGGAAATAAAATTGGACAAACTCAATAAAATAAAAAGTGCGCTAAAAGGAAAATCTGTATGTTCAACAAAAAAGTTTGTGTCAATGTTAATTTTAAATTGCAGTTGGTAATTTTGAGGCCACACGCATGCAAGTATGGCTCTTAAACGCTGTAAATGCAGGCATTAGATATTGCAATCCAGCTCAAAGCTGCCCGACAAATCACCATCTCTGCTCACCTACATAATAAGATCATGACCACGAGATCACGTGGCTACAGGCAAGGAGTACCTGAAGTCTCGGGTTCTGATTGATCAATTGCATCTTTCCGCGTGCCCTGCCAACTAACTCGCTTCATAGAAGCAGGATTGTTCTTGTCTTGTTCGTTTTTAGGGATTTGACAGTTGTACCAGTGACGGTTATCTTCGATCGTATCCAGTAATTCTTGGGCGTCAGGTTGGACAAGTTCACCCCACGTTTCCCATAGAGGTTGAGCGACAAAGTCTATAAATACGACCTGCAACGGAGATCCCAGAATTAGTACCAAAAGAAGTACACTAAGATGGCGAATACAAACGTCGAAACGTCACACTTTTCTAGAGTCAAGTGAGCTGAAAAAGTGACCAATAGCTTTTCCTTTTTGACTCCGACGAAAGGGACGGACGGACGACCGAACGTCCGACACGTTAACGTCAGTACAGTTGCAAACATTTTTACGTGTTCTTAAGTATGTGACCTAGCTGGTTGACTAATTTCGCCGTTACACATAACCACTATTTCTTCTCTTTCTGTGATTTCAACAAACGTGATTATTCTTTTGACTTCCGTCAAGCAAAAAAGTGCTAACTTAGACCGTTGTTTGAAGGACGGAAGAGAAAAAGCCCCATTAACATACCGGCCTGGGTAGTAGAAGCACGAAAAGGAATATGTAGTTCCCAAAAGGTCACGAAAGAAGCACGTGCTGATAGGTAGATCTCTGTCCATGCAAATCAATGGACAAAAGAAATGGCCACCATTGTGGGTTGATATAATATTTCGTTCAAGTCCACCAACATGGCGGCCGTATGACGTCACATAACACGACTGCGCTAAACTGTACCTGAGATTTCTCTATCGACGCATTATGTCGATCCATCATGGGACTAATGTCCATCCCTTCGATTGCTCTTTCTTTGTCGCCCTGAAGGATACAGAATCAAAAGTTAGACGCGTGAATAGTATGACGCATATTGAAGTAGAACAGCCAGCGCGTTTATAACGGTAATAAAAAAGGCGCGCATTATCGAAATTATTGACTTCGTAACGGGAGATGGACTATGCTTAGCCAATTTTACATTGCACTCGGCCTGTTGCTCGGAAATGCGGTGCAAACGCATTTAGACGTCTTGTCGCGCGCGTCTGCGCATTATACCTTTTAAAATATATCTCGTGAACGACTTAGAAGATGAAAATACCTGTCGGAAGAATTCTTCCATGAGTCGATCGACCCATTTACGGTAGATGTGTAACGGCTTCGTAGGATTACTCAGATCCGCACAGTGAACTAAACTCTTTAAAACCTTTAGAGAGGGRAAAAAAAGCATAATTTTTTTTTTAGACTCAATGGGTTACATTACTACGGTGATGTGGCACGCTGCCTTAGGTTGCTAATGGAAACGATGCATACCTGCATTCTGTCAGTATATGTATCTAAGCACAGCACCCCGGTGCCTGCCACTTTCTTTGTTTCTACCATTGTTTTCAGTGAGGCCAGTAGGCTCATGTGTTTGGCGTTGTCTGTCGCGAGGACCTAAAAAACAAAAACCACGTTCTTTATCATCATGTTCGCCATAGCCCTTTTCTGAGTTCGCGAAACAGGAAGAATTATGTTCTAGCTTGAAAAGGCATGATAGACAAAAGATGTTTGCACCCATGACAGACTGCAATGCATCATGTCTGCTATCTCCGAAAAGGTATATCACCTACCATCTCTATGATCATCCTTCGAGCTGACTGCCTCTCGCTTTTACTTAGATTTTCAAATATATCGCAGTCTTCGTGTTGCAGGAGCTGAAATGCGACTGCCAAGTGGTGGTTTTCTAACACCGACTCGTCGTTATACATAAGGGCCATTTCAGAGTCTAAAAAATAAAAGAAATACAGTGATATTTACTGCCTGTCACGTGACCTTTTCCCGCCAAGTTTTAGGCGGCAAATGTGGACGTAGATGTTTTCAAAAATTCATATCAAAGCGGGAAATATTCATATACTTAAAAGAAATTGACAAATAATTATTATTTCTGATCGGCAATGCAAAAAGTCCTTTGCCTTTTCAAATCTGTAAAAGCTGATCACGTGACTTACTACTTCTTTATCCAAATAACTTACTTGTTGCGACGAGGAAGTGGTTATTGACACCAGGATGATCAACATCGTGAACAGCACTGGCAATTATTGCCGAGAGAATTTCAAGGTCGGTAAATACGGACTGCATAAGAAAAGAGAAAAATATAACATGAAACAATACAGGTAGCAACTGACCGTGAGTTTTGGGTACRAGAATGACTAAACACGTCCGTGGGCTCCCTGTGGTGTTAAACATGAGCAAAGCAACGTGACAAAAAACATGGCCGCTAAAAAATATTCCTTTCTTGAAAAACGGTAAGTATCGTAGTATTTCGTAGTATTTGTCGTATTTCGTGCTTCACTGTTATAAAAACTTAGTTCTATTATAATACTTCGAAGTTTTGGGATGGTATTTGAAAATTACGTAGTTTTTTCATGGTTTTTTTTTTGGCTCTTATTTTTTCCCCAAAACTGTGAGAGACGAAGCTCCTTTACTTTTTTGTTTCCTTTTTAAGTTTTAAATATTCGTTTTGGGTCGATACGACGAGGGAAATTGTCCTAAATAAAGCCTTAATATATTTTCTTAGTTACATATGAACCTTAGTAAGACTTTATAGATAAGTCCATTCAACTCCATATACTGTCTTATATTCTTGTAACTTCAACATATTGGGGAGATTCGTTGGAGTTGGGGGGCAAAGGGGGGGGGCACTAACATCCTGGCAGCCCATTCCTTCATGGTAATAATACACTGTGATATCAACAAATACTTGTGCATGGAGATGTTGTATAAATATACATAACTACTCACGTCGAAAGCTTGTGCAGATAACAGTACATGAGTAGTTTGTGTTACGTCAGCTGCATGAATACAATTGTGAAAGGGGACGTCTTTTAAATAATGACTCTGGGGAAAAAAGAATAAAGTTATTAATAAATCTATAATATTCTCAAGATATGAGACAATGTGACAGAGTAAAGAAGCAGATTATTGCTCCAATGTTTATTAAGGATAAGTCGGCTATTTTGTTTTAAAGATCATAAAAATTAAAAATCAAAAATACTCACCTCTACTAGGGTCATATAATTTATAAATGTGGTAGGCTTGATTTTGAATATTTTTAGTAAGTCTCTGGCCTAAGATTGAAAACCATAAAAACGTTTTAAGAATTATCCACTACTGTTGCCCAAAACATGGCAATTTTGAAAATGGACATAGTAGACACGCAAAGCAACGTACCTGCAGAATAGTGTAGGTTACAGCTAACATTGGGTGACCTGTGGTTGCTTCATCCAAGGAAAAGGCATCAAAATCCCACCTATTGATGCCTTCTAATATCTATACAGTAACAGCATACATCAAGTTAGCCATGAATTAGTGATAACCACTGGGTCAAGGGGTGAGAGGTCCATCAAAAAAATGAATGGTGGTACAAGAAAATATAATAGAACAAAATGTTCATGAGTCATTCCAAGCTTAAGGGAAAAACTAGGTTGTGTTGGCATTGCTGTGTGTTTTGAAGTTGTTTTGGGGGACATGTTATCAAGATGGTGGCTATTTCGTCACCTAAAACAGCCCCACAATGCACTGCAGTGCCAACTTGACCTAGTTTTTCTTCACCTCGGAATGGCTAATAAATAAAGGGAAAAAAGAATTTTAACCTTTGCTAATTCACTTTCATTCGGGACTTCTACACCAAATCTATAGAAAAATGAAAAACAAAAAAAATCTTTTCAGCACAAATGCTGACCTTTTGGTTACAATTTTCTTTGTCACTTCCTTGTAGATAAAATATTCTGCACAAAGATAACAGATATATCATTACTAGTATAGAGGGTTTGAGCTAAGTTTGGGATGGCAGTAGCCAATTTGATTTTATAAATATTGCCCTGCATAGGGTCACAATGGAACAGTTGTGTGGCTGTGTGTCCAGATTGGTTGCCTTGTAGAGTAGTGGTAAAGACATTGGACTTGACCATGCCATCAAAGACGTGGGTTCGAGTCCTGCCAACATTATATGATACCCAAGGTCTGGTCGTGAGAGAAATAGTTAGTTTTGTTTCCTCTCGAGTCTCTGGGGGAAAAAACTATTTCCCTTGCAACCAGACATTAAGTGTATATTGTTATACCAGCTGTATTCAAACTAAAGGCGTACTTGACCTGTAAAACCCCAATCTGTTGCTGGTCAGATGTCCAGTGAATTATTTACTAGTCAAAATAATGGTCATTTTTACCAGACAGGTGTCCATTGGCTGGCACTTATTTGCAGCTATGCATCAGTCATGTAAAAATAAGTTCGAACTTGTTATACATACTTGTTATACTTGTTAACTATTATACTTGTTATACAGCAATGTCATCTTTATTAATTGAAACTTGTGCTAAACCACAGTTGTGTGGAAAGGCAGTTTTACAGTATTTTATTCTCACCTTGGTACAGTCCCAGAGAAACTGTGTAATCTTGTAAGTTTACGGACTCCATTAACCATAGACCTTGAGCGTGCTCTTATACAATCCTTTCTAGGTTTACTTTGATTAGGATCTGCCTGAATTTCCAGCTGTTTATCTAAAAAAAACACACAAGAAAAACCTATTTGTCAGGTTTTCCTTGCCAGTAACACAGCTCAGAAGCCCATCATTTGGAAAATGCAATTTTTCAATGGGTTGATGCCTAGTTATACTGTAAGCATGATCCTACCAGGGTTAGCCAGTGTCGTATTCTTGAAGAGAATTGGGGAGTAAGCAGCCTTAGGTGAAGGTGGAGCGGGATCTGTGGGGGAACATCTCCTGTTTACAAGGTCATCTAGAATGCACAAAGTGAGGAGTGTTCACGAGGTGATCATGATTGATGTGACTACATACAATGCACACTAGAGAAAAACACTTGCTCGCATTCATATTTTAACCAGAAAAAGAAAAGATTTCGTGAGTATACTTTTGTGAGATCAAGATATGAATATGTATATAATTAATAAAGACAATGAAAGAATTGCCCTTGAGTTTTATTAAATTACTTTAAGTTTCAACATTTTATAATGTTATTTGTTAGGTAAGTTTGAACCACAAATTTGCACAAAAAAATGTTCCCCTTCACAGTTACCGCCACCGTCTTGAAAGGTAGCCATGCATTTGCATGGTAGAGAGATGAATGGTGAGCTTGTAATGATACAGATATGTGAATAATTGACCAAGGTCTCTATCATTGCAAGCTCACTGTTCATCTCACTTTGATGCAAAGGCATGGCTACCTTTCAAGATGGCACAGGGAACAGTGAAAGGGGCTATTGCAAGAAAAAGTTTTTGACTGATTTGCATACAGACATAGTAGACTTGTAGAGTAAGAGCAGTGTTTTTCTCGAGTCCATACAATGCATATATGGTGAACAACAAAAAATTAAATTGATTGGTATATAAATAATGGTGGATAAATGTTTCGACAGAACAGTTATCAATTATCATTTATTATGCATTAGGCATTTTGCTTATTCTATTGCTCCCAAAATATAAATATGGAAAATATGTGGCCTTTTCTCAGAAATTCTTTTTTAGAAGCCAGATTATTGCCATTATGTATTAATTCACACTAGTAATATTTTAGCCCTTTCTTTGGGATTAGCAGAGGTTGGTTTTAGCAGTTTCTATTTGTGATTTAATGCAGATAAAGTTGAAAGAAAATACAACAGGATATGACGCAGGTTTGCAATGGGAGGAATGCAGGAACTGGCTGTAAAATCCCAGTTATAAGCTCCAGGTTTATATGATTTCATAAGAGTTTTTAATGGGCTAATAATGGGAGGGTTGTGAAAAAATATCTCTTAGCAGATGGGTGGGCTTTAAAGGTCTCATAAGGAGGGGTTTAACTGGGGGGGGGGGGGGGNATAATAAATAATAATAAATTATACATTATAAATAATTTAAGTATTTAGTGTCAGATTTCTAGGGTACTTCAATGCAAAAGTAGTTTCAATATGTATTAAATAATGAAAAATGTTTTAAATATAAAAAGTTGAGGTTCATCAATCAATTATTAATACATCTTAATATTATTTCTTCAACTAACTCAAGATATTTAATTCTTGATTCCTACTTTTTATTCCCTTTTAGTGTTATATTTTTAAGTAAAATGTTGGTTATTTATGTTGAATGGATAGGCTCAGAGCTGTTGTCAAGGGGAGGTTTATAAATTAAGTACATTTAATGTTATTTATTACAGATATAAATAATGGAACTTGTTTTAAATTATTTAAAAATGTATATCGCTGTATATTTATGACAGTACATGAAATTATATTTGTATAATCAATAATGAAACCATTTAAAGATTATGATGATGATCAAAAAATGAGCTGAAATAATGGAATCGGTCATTGGTCGTTGATTGGCGTGCTTCTATCACGTTTTAACTGCACTTTGCCGGTTGCTTAGGCACTCAAGAAGCTAAAGTTGAACTGGGCTACAGCTCTTGCGACACTTACACTTCCTTTGTGCTTAGCAACCTCTGTCATGCACCCAAAACTCAATGAAAGTATGCTAATCAATGAGCAATCCTACAAAATTTGTGTTGGAAACATTTTGAGATAAATGTTAAAAATATAACAAACTTATAATCGCAATGCACTTCAATGAGAAGCATACTTAGATTTACTTCAATGGCGGTATAATAAAATTGTAAAAAATGCCAGGTCATCTTTAGATGTGAGTTCCAAAAAATAGGCATGCCTTGTTCATGTAGAGGAACTGAAATTTTATAATGCTACAACAAGCATTTTCTGGAAATTAAAAGATCCCTAGACTAATGGCCCCTCCTTAGTATGCCATCAATATTCTAAGATAAACATGTTATAGATCAATCTGGAAGTACTGTATTTTACCTGTAAAAGTGTTATACACCCAGGCAGACACTTGGTTGCCTGATTGGTTAGCATCAGAAAAGTCTTTGAGCTCCCGGTTTAGAAGTCTCTTAAACTAGTGGTTTAGAAAAAAATGTGTTCAGTCAGGATATTGTTGGCAAAACACTGGAAAATAGCTTGGATAAACCAAATTCATTTCAATAAAGAAAGTCACAAATCACTCACCTTATTAGAAGCCATTTCACTAACAGATGAGTGAGTTTGAAGAGTTTCCAACTGATACAAAATCCAGTCCAGCTCTTCAAGAGTGTTATTTGCAACCTTATATTTGCAAGACAACAAAGAACATTAGATTCCTGAATCATTATATGTGCATTTGATCATATTCACATGTTAAAGTTGCGCTCTATAAATATTAAATATTATTATTACTAAATTGGGAAGCATGGGTGGATTAGTGGTGATAGTGCTCACCTATCACCATGGCAACCCAGGTTAGATTCCTGGACTCCACGTCATAAGAGTAGTTAAGAGTTTGCTTGTTTGTTCTCTCCTGTGCTGAGGGTTTTCTTTGCTGCAAAAATCAACTTCTAAATTCCAATTGGAATCCAGTGGAAGAGGAGCCACCCTGCAAAACCACTGTTAAATACCATTTGTTTATTTTTTCATTTTTTTCCGTTTGTTTTTAAATTCATGCTCGTGGCTCGTGGTCAGAGACTAGTGTGACTCATTGCTTCCTCCCATTAATTCTCTTTTTGCCTTTTTCTTTTTTTCTTTCACCATTTTTTTCTTGAATTCTCAATTTTCAATTTGATCTTTGCATTTTTACACAGATTGGAGTCTCATTCTGTTGTTTTTTCCCCAATGATGTATAAAGTAATTATGTACATGCCATGGCTAAAGTTAATTAAGATTTTTAAAATAGCAGCTTACAATTTGATAATTCTCATCCCTAGGAATCTGTAAGGAACCTAAAAAGAAAAGAAAAATATGTTTTGAAATAACACTCCTACTCATCTTATGCATCTTTATGAATGCTTGCCTGTCTCCTCTATGACACAGGTTTTAATTATAAGAATCTAAGTCACTCATTTATTCTTCTTAATGCTGCAAGGTTTTTTCCCCAAGTTCAATAAAAATCAAGAGTTTTTTAATCTAATTTTGTTCAGTGAAAAACTTTTTCTGTGGAAATACCAATGTAAAATTTCCAATTAATTTGATTTAAATTTAAATAAAAAAATATACAAAGCTGGCACAATTTAGTTTGAAACTTGCCTAAGTTTCAAGACTTTGAATATTTCAAGTACAAGTTTTACTATGACAGATTTGCGGTCCTTTAAGAATGTAATGTGGTTTCTCTCTTACCTATACTATTTTGAAGATCAGATAAATTAGTCTTATTTAATTGTGGGCCTACAGACCCTCCTCTTCTGAAAACAATAAAGGAAATGCATTTAGTATATAGATATTTATTTATTTATTTATTTAATTTTTACAATTTATTTCTAAAAAATATATTTGCATAAACATTAAACCATTATAGATTATCAACAATAGTCCCTTTCACAGTTTCCTGTGCAATCTCGAAAGGTAGCCATGCCTTGAAAGGTGAACTTACAATGATAGAAACCTTTTTTAACACCTTGGACAATTATTCATATGTTTCTATCATTGCATGCTCACCGTTCTTCTCACTTCGATGGAAAAGCACAGCTACCTTTCAAGACAACACAAGGAACTGTGAAGGGGACTAAAACTTACTTTTCCTTTYTTGCATTTGTTAAAGTAACAAACGTGTTTCTGACATTACGAAGACTGGATAGAATTTGTGCAAATGGAGTAACCAGCTCCTCAACTCGTGTACTGTAGAAACAAAACAACAATTAATGTGAGTATTGTTCATATTAAACTTTTGCTATTATTAAAAGCTATCATCTTACAAATTATTTTTGCATGACATGAGTTTGAAATCAAACAAGATATATGTATGGAACATTGTTTGATTCTTCAGGGGCTGCAGAGGGGGGTGGGGCATGGGGGCTACCCCATTTTTCCCTTTTCCCATACTATAATCTTAAATTATTTAATTTTTGCCCTCCCCCTCCCACTTTTTCCCATACTAGTCTCTTATATTTTCCAATCTTAGCCTCCCACTTTTTAGGTTTCTCCGCAGCCCCTGTTCTTTAATTGACAAAGAAACTTAGTCCAAAATGTCAGTTAAGTACAGTACAGCTGTATACCTTTTGTTAAACTAATAACAAAATTAAGGAGATGTATTACCCATTAACAATGCTCCAACATACATGCATTATAGTCTATATATAGTATATGTTTTTACTTTCTTTTATTTGTCATATCCCCCACCATGGCAACATGTCATACTCTGTTCTCCCAAAGTATCATGGAACTATTGACAATCGTTAACTGTGGGGGGGGGGGGGAGGTAGTGATGTGACTATCACCTTTGTTATTCTATTCTCTTGGGAATAAAAGCAACCATCTATATAATTCCGCAAAATCTAAAGGAAACTTACCCTTCGCTAAATGAATGGTGCCGTGATGTTACACATTTTGATGCTAATTCAAATTCACTGTCAGACTTATACAAGAAGGATTCCCTTCTCTGTGGAGGTACTGGAATAGCCAGTTTGTCAGGTTCAGGTTTCTCAGAAGACTCCTCCCCTGATGGGGAATATTTGCTTCTCTCGCGTTTTCTAGGAAAGCTGTGAAGAAAAAGTACCATGTTAGTTATTTGTCTGAGGAATGTCAGAAATCTGTCAAAACATTTGCCTTGGAAAATAAGTCAAAACCTAGAAGTGCAATATTAATTTTCTTCAAAATTACTAAAATACAGGAGTAAATGCATGAGCATTGCTCAATGTTTTAAATTCCCAAATTTAAATGCTAAAGGACAATCTTGACATTTTTACTAAAAAATATGCTCATTAATTAAGCTTCATTTTATTTGAGTACAATAACGACAACATGTAAAATCTCCGGCTTGCAGCTAAAAAAACTTAGTTCTTTTTACAATTTTATTTTTGTATATACTTTGATATTAAAAGAAAATATCTTATCTATAGCTAAGGGCATTTCCTTTACAGTTGTTGTAAAACAGAAAAATGAAGAAAGAAAGGGAAAGAAAAGAAAAAAATGACAAGGAAACTTTAGGTTGTCATATTTTCTTCTTTTTAAAGATCAATTCATAGTTCAAAGGGATATTATGGAATTCTAAGATGACACAAAAATATAATTTTTCAATTTGAAAACTAAGGATTATTACAAGTTACCAAACATTCTGTTCGGTAGTGTAACAAGGTTAAACGGGAAGTTGAAAATGTAGTCAAATCTCAGACTGTGCTTGATCAACTAATTAAATACACCCTGGCTGTTCACAAACTTGTGGGACATCAAACTTGACAGGATTTTCAAGATAAAGACACTTGGAACGACAGCACATTGTCTGAAAAATTGCCTATTTTCCTCACAAAATGAGAAGCTTTTTTCTTGGAAATGTATTTTTTTAAGTTATATAAATTCATTGACGAGTAAAATATTAGGATTTTTAGATACAATTATTAATGGAATAAATATGCATCTTTTGTTCAATGGTGGAGTCACATTGTTTCATTGTAGTGCAAATATCACTCTTTCCTTGCACAGTTTACATCATTTTCTAGAAACACATCACAGTACCATATTGAAAAGTAAAGATGTATGCATTATATAAAATATCATGAAACACTATAAAAGTACAAATTTTGTCTTTTGCATGTTGAAAAATATTTTAAAACTTAGACAAGCAAAAGAGCAGGATATTTCATCAAGATTCATATCTCTGCACTGCTATATTACCTTTTCGAAACCACCTTCTCCATAGAGTAAAAAAAAATCAAAATAAATCTAAAGTAGATTTAGCTTGACTCTTTACTGTCTTTGTGTGAGAGTTGTTAGAACTGACCTTTGAGATATTAATTACTTTTTGTTGGTACTTTATGTAACACATAAAAAAATATATGGAACTATAATTTTATGAACAGGTACATTGATTTTTGAATGATCTGCATATTAATAGAAACACTGTGTCTAGAAAATTTTTCTGGTCTAGATCTGCTGTTTTTTTACGACCCACAGAGTATATCAATAGATTTGTGAAATATTAACTAATAAAAGTCTGTTATTATAGAAGATACATATACATATATTTATGTAAAATATGAGCATTAGACTATATTATGCAGCCTGCAGGATTTTAAGTCACACCCTCCAGTAATAAAGATGTTACAAGTCTATACATCTGGTAAAATAAAATAAAATGTAACCAGTTTATCAATTATTTCTATTGATTGGTGTATATTTTTGATCAAATGTTGTTATTGTTCACTGCAAAGAGAAATCTTTTGCCAAATGCTCAAACAAATTGGTATACAAATATTTTCAAATAGCACTTCAAATGTAACAGATTCTCATAAACTGTTCATTGGTGTTCATGCGAAGTGTTGTTTTGAAGGAATGACACAGAATCCTTCAACCTTGTATTTTGAACATCTTGCAATGAAAAAAAATATGCTTCTTTAAATTTTTTCTCTGTAGCTATAGAGGCATTCGATACAAAATTTTGGCCATTTGGAATTCAATGATTTCTTAAAGTTACCCTTTTGGGAGGGCTGCTCATTTCAAAATACTGCAGAAAATATCATATGTCTATAACATTCTATAAACAATAAACAACACATATATGCATATATATAAAATATAGAAGCATGTGTATAAACATACATCTTTGTATATAAAGACACACATTATAGCACACATGACCAAAATATGTGAATTTATGACAGTTTTCAACAAAATATATAAAGAATATAGGAAAGAAAGATGCATGAACCAAATAAATGAAGCCCCAAAAAATGGTGTTTGAAAGAGTTCATATGTTCAAAACACAGTGTGATTCAGATTTGCATCAAGACTGTAGACAACATTTTCACAAAAAATTACATAAATACAGAACCAAGACAGTATACACTCAACAAAGATTATATGATCATATATAGGCAACAATCACACACACAAAAATACATAAGCATGAAACAACACTGTTACATACCCAAATGTATGTGCCTGTGACTAGCTCATATATTATCATAGTGTCGTATTAAATAAATAAACCCTTTACTGAAGAAAAACTGCATCTCAAAATTACCAAAGCTTCATTTCTGGACTGATTGTGTTTGAATTGTACGATGTCTATTTGAATTTGAATTATTTTGCACTGAAGAATGACTACATCTTAGTTTAAGGGACGCATTTTAAGGTGTTGATAAACCTCTGAATATTCTAAATTACCTAAATAGCATAAATAACGATTACATCGGCTTGGAAAATACAATTCTGTTACTGATGTAAAATATAAGTTTTTTGAGCACTGGGAGAATAGTTAGACTAGATATAGTAGTATATTGCTGTGGAAAAATTGTAAAAAATTTCCCTTGATTATAAGAGGACCAAATATAAACAATGCCAAGAGAGGTCCATTGGCTGAGCTTGGAGATAAAGTACAAGTTTGGAAATCAGTTACTTTGTTCAAGTAAAAGAACTAAGATTCGAGGGTACCGACAAACAAATTGATTTATTAACTTCGATAAGAACCTTTATAGAAAACCAACGACCCTTTACCTACTCTGTTTTGGCGTGTTCAGTACGTGAAAAGGTAACAAACAAACCATCCAAGTAATGATGCCGGTGTACATAAACAAAGCTCAACTCAACTGCCTGTGACGGCTACCTGTTTAGAAGATGCATGTTTGTACAAAGATTTCCACTGCTCCAAAACTAAAATCTCGAAAATGATCAAGTTCATTCATAGAGCAAGAGAGGTAGTTTTCATACTAAGATTACGATAGCGATAGAGAAGCGTGCCTTTCTTTTCCAAACATTTTTGATTCGCACATTATAAAGGTTTGGGATCCGTAGAAGATAAGAGCTAATTGATAGTTTCAATCGAATATAAATATTACTTTAGCATCCAAGTATAACTGCTTGGGTGAGGATAAAGGCTTACACAACAATTCTACGATTCCCACTAGTCCAAAAGCACGATTCAAACTGGAACTTACACAAATTCTGTGCTACAAATCAGCAGAAATCAATTTTGTGTGTACACGTAAATGTAAATCTGCATGTAAAGCAAGTTTTCTAAAATCCCAAGAGGATATTCATATAGTCAGGAAAAGTTCAATCTTCTAACATCACGGAGTGAAAGATGGTTAAATCTGCTCTTCCGATCACAAACATTCGACCAGATCAAGTGTTAGAAATATAAACAGTAAAATAAGATTGAAGGCCTATGGATTCGCCGCTAAAGAGAAGATCGATCCCCCCTTATCAAACAAGCACTCGCTCGTCAAATTTACTGCTAAATTAAAGTCAAAATAATACTTAGTGATTCTTTTCCAGTTAAACTAGATGACTTTGCAGTGAATTGAAATCACACTAGAATTGTGGTGAAAAGATTTTGGAGACAGCACTTCGCTTTATTTATCAGAATAACTAGTACCACAACACATAAAGTCGACTACGACAGAGTCAAGATCAATCGACAAAATGATAGCCAAGTAAAACGTAAAAGGAATCTTCTTGAATGCTGTCAACGTGAACAGTAATTTCTATCCAACGAGTCGACTCTAAGGACACATCTCGTAAGACAAAAAAAAAGCTAGTAAAAATGGAGAAAAATATTATAGTGTAGCGACTGAAACGGCTTTTACTGTACTCGCGTGCCCTGAGAGGGTTTTATCCAAAACAGACTCAACATTTTTGAAAATATATCTAGACCAAAAGCGGCGTATTCGATAAACATACGCGTTTTCGTTCTCACAGATTTCAAGAAATGAATTTGGAATAATTTCAGAAAAAGTTGGACACCCAGTCAGAAGCCTACGGCCCTATGAATATATGGAGATTAGCAATARATAAACGAAATCTTCATCCCCGTTCTAAGGAAAAACCCTTTCTACATCGATGACTGTATGAATCACTCAAAGGAATCGCCAGAATCAAGTCGGTAAAAACCCTAGCGAAATACCAAGAAATTGATAATAAATAAAAACCCAAAGCGATCTATCTCGGCTTAAACTAATAATAATGCATGCGCCAGCAAATGTATTTTCTACAGTCGACCGATCGACTCGCGTTTGAGCGGCGTTTTGTTATTTGGCTTCCGAACTACCGGGTTGAAAATAAGATTTAAGTTCCACAACAAGTCGTTCTTTTCGATGGCTTGGCCTAAGGTTTAGGACATGGCGTCTTATCCTCAGTCAATAATATACACGCTCTAAACCAAAAGCCACCGTCAGCACCGCCATGTTGTGAGGGGCAGTCGAGTATTCCTAAACGCGAAACGTATAGACAAACTGACCGGGCTCAGTCAAAATAAGTCCCGCGTACTGAAGGATTTTCCCCCGAAGTCGAACACACTAACCGAGTATTTGCCACACTGGTTTGTTTATGAACCTCACTAGACTATAAAAGAGGTGAAAACTGAAATAAACAGAACGAAACTTGTAAGGGCTTACCATGTACTGGTCGGTCTAGTGTTGGAGAGAAGAGATCCCATAGTCCTTGTTTTACGGCTCCCAGAACGAACCTAATGGAGACTTGTCTATTTCAGGCCGAGAAATTGTCAATTTCATCGTGCCAACGAGGACTTTCTGCAGATAAATTC